GGAGAAGGAGAAGGAGGAGGGGGAGGAGGAGGAGGAGGAGGAGATGGAGATGGAGGAAGGTTCGTCGGAGGGCAAGGTCCGTCGGAAGGTTAGTCGCCCATCCCTCGAGGAATGGAGGTAGGAGGTGGAGGTGGATGTGGAGGGCAAGCTCCGTCGGAAGGTGAGTCGCCCCTCCCTCGACGAGTATTCCACCCAGAGTGTGCGAGTCGACTGTGCTCCAGCGCGACGACTGGCGCCGTAGGAAGAGACGTGTCCATCGGGACTCCGCCCCGAGCGGAGCGGGGCCCTCGCAGCGTGTCGCAGACCTCTCACCTCTCCCTCTCCGCGCACGGGCTTCTTGTGCCACCCCAACAAATCGGGGGCGCGCAAAAACAAGAAGTGGCGATCCGTGTATTTTTGGAGGCGCGCCGAGGGTGGTCGGGGGAGGGGGAAGGCTTCTTCGAAGCACCCCTGCTTCTCAGAAGGCGCGGGGAGTTTTGGCGGCGCGCAGAGGGGGGCAGGGGGAGGGAGGAAGGCTTCTTAGAAGCACCCTTGCTTCATAGAGGGCGCGGTCATTCTATGTAGATGGAAGGCCCGTGCCTTCTGCGAAGCAGGGGTGCTACTAAGAAGCCTTCCCCCCTCCCCCTGGCCCTCCCCCTGAGCGTGGCTGAGATTTGGCGCGCGGTCGCCAAATCCATGGGTGACGTGCCGTCGCCAGGGGAGGTGCCCTCCCCAAAATGCGGCCTGTGCCGCCGCGTCGGAAATCCGCGATTTCCAGTGGAACCAGGGCCCGTCGCTAATCCACGCCCCCATTCATCCATGTTTGCGATCGCCTGACCAGAAAGGTTGCGGTGTGAAAAGTGCCCGGCGTGCCAGGCGTGTGTTCCGACAACAATGCGCCGCCTTCCACTTCCGTCTTCGCTCGCCCTCCTCCCTGCTCCTCCTCCTCCCTCCTCCTCCTCCTCCTCCTCCTCCTCCTCCTCCTCCTCCTCCTCCTCCTCCTCCGCCTCCTCGTCCTCCTCCTTCTCCAAACATCCCACATCTCCACTCCCTCATGCCCTCGAAGCTCTTGGCTCCCGGGGGTAAGCGGTCTCTCCGACTAGGTTGCCCTTTCGGGGCCAATGTCTGTCCCAACACACGACCCTGCAACTAGAGAGGGATTCAACGCACTGGCAATGGGGAGAGGACGGAGAGGTCGAGATTGCGCGAACGCACCTGGTTCGTCATCCTCTCTTTTTTGCCCCCCTGCTGGGGAAACCAACAGGTACCGATACCGCTACTCGCCGAACCTCTGCCGGGGTGTTTTCTGACCAGAGTTTCAAGGCGAATCCAGCGGTGGCGACGAGGGCCTCCCAGGAGGCTGGAAAGGGAGAAAGCATGGGAAGGGTAGCGGTATGGGTACCTTTTTCTCCTCCGACCTGCTCCTACTCATCCTCCCCGTTGCCCTCCCTCCCGTCCGCGGGCCTTCTCGGCGACGCTGGGTCTCGAGGTGGTCTTCTCCTCCCCGCTGCCCCCAGTGAGCAATGAGTTACTCAAGCCTCCTCTGACAGCGCCAGCGCTGCCCCCGAACGACTGCGAACCCTTGGCGGGCGAGACGCGTGTGTCTGAACTTGGGCTGACGTGTGGCCTCGGCGACCTTACAAGGAGCCTCGGGTCCCCGAGGAGAGGTGCGTCGTCGTCGTCGTCTCCGTGATTTGTTAATCGTCTTCCTGCCGTCCCCTTTCCCGTCGCCCCCCCTTTGCCCCACCGGTCGCCGCCCCCCCCCCCCCCCCCCCCCCTTTCCGTGGGCCCTCCTCCTCAGGCGCTGGGCCCGTCGCCGCTCCCCACCCTTCCCTGGGTCCTCCTCCACAATCAAGCGCCTCAGCCATTGCGAAATTGAGCGACGTCGTAATTGACTCGAAGGGAAACCCCTTCCCGTTGATCCCTCCCCCGTCCCGGGGTGGGATCCCGGGTCAAATGCAACGCCCCCCTGGGGGTCCCTGGGAAAAACATCCAAAATGGGACAAGAGTGCCCCAAGAGGCTCTCGAGACGGTCCAAGAGGGCCCCGAGTCGCCGAACGATCTGTCCAAGACGCCTTGACGGCCTCCAGACGGCCCAAGAGCCCTGCAAGACGCCCCAAGAGGCCTCCAGGAGGACTCCCAAGAGGGCCCCAAGAGGAACAAACACTGATTTCCGATGGGTTTCTTAGGCATCTCGGCGTTCTCTGGCCCCTTTCACTTCCAGACGCTCCAAGACGGTCCAAGAGGCCCCCCAGATCGTCCCAAGACGGCCAAAGAGGGCTCCAGGAGGGACCCAAAGCGGCCCAAGAGGGGCCCAAGACGGAACAAGACGCCTCGGCCTAGGAGGCCTCCAAGACAGCTCCAAGAGGGTGCCCAGACGAGGGGCCAGAACAGACCTTTCGAACCCTCGGCCCCAAGAGGCAACCCAGGGGGAACCAAGAGGCCCCCGAGAGCTCCCCAAGAGGTCCAAAGAGGCCCCCAAGAGGCCCCGAGGAAGCCCCGAGAGGTCCCCAAAAGGCTCCCAAGCGGCCCCCAAGAGGCTCCCAAGAGGCCCCTAAACTGTCCCCCGAAGGCCCCCGAGATCGCTTCGAAGAGACCCCAAGAAGCATCCACGAGGACTCTGACCCACGCCGGAGTCGCCGTCGTCGCCGCCGCCGTCGTTGTAGACGTTTCCTTTCAGGGTTGGCACTGGCCGTAAGGCCTTAACAACATAGCTATTTGTGTGTGTGTGTGTGCGCGTGTGTGCGCGCCCCAGGATGGCCCCAAGTCGGCCCATAGAGGCCTTCAAGACTGCTTCCGAGGGCGTCAGACGTCCAGGAATGCCCAAGACGTGCGGGAGTTGCACCAAGCCCGCCCCCAAGAGTGCACCAAAGCTCCCGAGAGGCCTCCTCCTCCTCCTCCTCCTCCTCCTCCTCCTCCTCATCATCATCATCATCATCATCATCATCATTCTCCTCCTTGTTCTTCCCTCTCGTCCTCTTCCTTTTCCTCCCCCAAATGTTTCCCGAAGGGCTCCAACAACGGCTGGGGGGAGAACGCGCAGCCCGATAGCGTGGCCGACTTCCGGCCACAACGCTCGGCCACTCTGGCGCCTCCAAAAGGCAAAGGGGCGGCGGTGATTCACCGCCATCGGCTGCAATTTGGCGGCGCGCACAAGGGGGTGGAGGGAGGGGGGAGGGTTTCTTAGAAGGAGACTGATCCTTAGAAGGCGCGGGCCTTGCATCTATAGAGAAGGCCCGTGCCTTCTAAGAAGCTGGGGTGCTTCTAAGAAGCCGTCCCCCCTCCCCCCACCCCCCTCTGCGCGTGGCTGACCAATAAAGAACATACAGTAGGGGCATGGCTTCCATACGTTTTAGCTCGTTCGGTGCCCCGCGCCAAAGGTTGGGGCAGCAGTCTCCGATCAACCGCGCTCCCTGCTTGCTCTCACCGCCCCTCCAACGGGGACTCCACTAACGGGCACATTGGCCAGTGACCCGGCGAACCCCACCCTCCCCGATGTGGGCAACGCTGCAATGACAGAGAGAGGCCCTAAAGTGGCAACCTTCGGCAAATCTCCATAAAATACCCCTTAGTGAGTTTCTGTTGCGGTGCCGCCGATGCTGCCTGGAGCCGCCCACGCAGGCTCCCACCAGGGGGCGCCCAGCTGAATGCCCCCGCGAAGCCTCCAGGACGGCCTGGGAGGCTTCTGCCTCGACCCTCGGAGCCCAGGAGACCCCCCATGAGGCAACCAAGACTGCCCCTAAGGAGCCCTCGAACCATTTTTTGTTTCGATCCGCGGGTCGAGAGCGCACCTCTTCTGGTCGAAGCTATGCGGGCCGCGCGAGGCTTGAGGAGCCCTCAAACCAGTCCCCCCCTCGAGATGATTATATGGGCGGGCGCCGCCCAGGGCGGCGCCCTGCGAAAGGACGGGCGCGCGGCGCGCGCTCCGAGCTCCTTCGCCTTCGCCGCCGGCGGGTTCACCTGCGCCCGCGCGGATGAGAAGTGGGCTGGGCGTGGGGAGGGGCCACAAGTGGAGGATGCTGGAGGCGGAGGAGGAGAAGGATGATCGAGGAAGAGGTGTACGAGGAGGAGGATCGAGGATCGATGCTCGAAGCTCCCGAACGCTCCCGACTTGGGCCTCCCCAGGCGCGCTCTGGCCTTCGAAGCTCCCGGCTCTGGCCGGGACCGAGACTCGGCCCCAGCCAGAGCCGCCCTCGAAAGGCCAGTCAGGGGACACAGCCCAAGACAGAATGAGAGGCCCAGTAGAGCAGCACAAGGGCGCAGACTTCCAGCGACCTGACGCGGACCGCGCCGGAGGTGCTTCGTGGGGGGGCAAGGACGGGCCCCACCGAGTCGACGGGGGGCCTGGTGGAGCAGCAGCGGGAGGAGAAGGAAGAGGACTCCGACCAGAGGCGGACCGCGCCGGAGATGCTCCCTCTCTCTCTCTCACTGCACCGACCTTGCAGACTTGCTACAGCGGACTTTTTTGTATGGACTTCAGAAAACAATACAAAAAGTCCGCTTCAGAGGTCCATACAAAAAAAATCCATACATTTTTGGCAGAAGTCCGACTTCTGCCAAAAATTCCCCAGGACTCTCCGGGCCCATCCTGTTGTTCTCCGAGCGAAATCCGCTCGGAGCAGGGTGCGTTGAGGCAACGGCGGCTCGTCCTCCTCCTCCTCCTGCTCCTGCTTCTCCTCCTCCTCCTGCTCTCTTTCCATGTTGTTCCCTCTTTCGTCCTCCATCCTTCATCCTCACTGCTGCTGGTCCCGACCCTTCCCATCCTGAGCCGCCTCCTCGACCTTGTCCTCCTCTTCCTCCTCCTCCTCCTCCTTGTCGGAATCCTCATCTACCCCTTCTCCCTCGCCTCTCTTGAGCCCTCCCTCCTGCTCATCCCTCATCGCCAAACTTCGTCCCCCCTGCCCCCCCCCCCCACTGTTGCTCGTTCCTGCCCTCACCTCCTTCAGCTCGTCTAGTGGCTGCCAACCCTTCCCGAGCCGCTCCAACGCGCCGCCTCCCCGCGCAGATGCTGCGCGGCCTTGTCAGTGATCGCCCTGCTGCCCTCCGGTCTGTGGACGAATGCGTCGCTGACCAGGGGGGACTGCGGCATGCAGATGCGGTCCTGAGCGCGGCGGACGCGGCGCTGAGAGAGCGTGCGGCCCATTTCGATCCCCAGGGGTTTTCCAGGAGCCCCCATGAGGCCCAGAAAGGTGCAGAATTCCACCTCGCAGTCCTTGCACTTCTCGGCGGCGAGCCCAGGGGGTAAGCGAGAAAGAGGAGGCCTTCTCAGCAGGTGGCAGGACTTCTGGGGAGCTCTCCGGCCTCCTGAGCGGTCTCCTGTTTGTGCCCTCGGGGAGGGGGAAGGCCCAGGGAGCTGCTCAGCAGGCCGGGGGACTCCCGAGCCTTCCTTACCAGCCTAGAACATATCCCTATCCCTATGCTGGGCATCTCCTCATCACGATGCCAACCTTAGGGATTCCCTCATTGTTTGAGGGCGTATCCCTAAGATTGTCATCGCTTTTTAGCGTGACAATCTTCGGGATAGGGATAGGTTCGAGGCTGGTAACTTCCGATAGAAGGCCTTTTCCTTCTCATTTCCCCCCGGCCTGTCGATCGAGGACCGGGCCTGTCGATCGCTCTTATCCCGGGCGCCCTGGCTCCGGGGCCCTGAACGGCAGCGGAGGAGCAGGGATGGATGCAGGGGACAAGGAGAGGCGAGGCGAGAAGGAGGGAGCCCGAGGTGAGAGACAGCCGAATGGTACAAGGCTGGACGGTTGACCGGGGCCCGCCGCCGAGCCTCGGGGGTCCGACTTGCCGGACCGGCGTGGCGGGCGGTCGCCTGGCGGGCGGCCGTGGGCGGCTCGCGAGCGCGCCGCGCGCAGGGCGGGGTGCGCCCGGGGTGGCGCCTGGTGAGCGGCCACGGGCGCCTCGAGGGCGCCCCGTGAGCAGGCTGGCCGGGCGCGTCGAGGTGTCGCCCGGGGCGGCGGCCGGGAGCGCCTCGTGGGCGCCTCGCGCCGCCTGCGCCACCCCGCGCGCAGCACATGGACTGCACCACACGTGCTGTCCCGGACCCCCCGCGCGTGGACGTGGAAGTTCTCTGTTCTCCTCGGCCTCTGGTGGCCCTGCCCGGGCTTCGGGGCCGCCAAAGAACGATGCAGAGTGAAACACCAGTCCCAGGGAATCGGTCCGGACCCGTGGTGCTCGACGTTGTGAAACAATCACGACGTCGGAAGTTTGGGATTACACCTCAAGCCTTGCACGCACAGTTTGCACCATGCAGCTCTCACGCGCAGGTCACACCACACAGCTTTCACCGCGCGTGGCTTATACACCACATCTGGGACACCACGCTGCTTCTACCGCGCAGCTTTGCACCACGTACCAATTGCACCGCGCAGCTGTTTGACACCTAGAGGGTGCGAGAGCTCACTGTTCGGGGACCACGACGGCGACGACGACGACGACGGCGACGACGAGGACGGCGACGACGACGACGACGACGACGACGACGACCCTGGACTCTGGCAAGGAGGCTCTTGGAGCCTCCTTCCCTGTAGATCGGGCGCGAGCGGGCCGCGGTAAACCTCCCCTCAGTGAAAACGGCCTGGGACCGGAACCGACGGACCTGGACCTGCAAAAATGACGGCCGCGACGCCCTCTCGCGAACCGAAGAAGGCCCATTCGCTACTCGACGCGTCAGGGTAGGAGGTCTGTCAACCCCCGATTCTCAGCAAGTGGCAGGACTTCTGGGGAGCTCTCCGGCCTCCTGAGAGCTCTCTGGTCTGTGCCTCCGGGGAGGGGGAAGGCCCAGGGAGCTGCTCAGCAGGCCGGGGGACTCCCGAGCCTTCCTTACCAGCCTGGAACATATCTCTATCCCTATGCTGGGCATCTCCTCATCACGATGCCAATCTTAGGGATTCCCTTATTGCCCATTCGCTAATCGACGTTTCAGGGTAGGAGGTCTGCCCAACCCCGATTCCCTGCAGGTCGCGCGCGAGCGGGCCGCGGGCGCCCGGCCCCCTGGCAGCTCGTGGGGGGCCGCGGCCCTCCTGCGGGTTGTGGGGGCTGGTGGCGTGCCACCGCTCGTCCACCGCGCTCCGGGGGCTCTTGGCCGACGGGGCCGGGCCCGCCGACCTGGGGGGGGGGGGGAGCGGGGGGGGAGGCGGACGAGGAGAAGGAGGAGGAGGAGGAGGAGGGGGAGGAGGAGGAGGAGGAGGGGGAGGAGGAGGGGGAGGAGGAGGAGGAGGGAGGAGGAGGAGGAGAGGGAGAAGAGGAGGAAGGGGGAGGAGGAGGAGGGGGGGGGGCCACGGGGCAGCGGAGGGGGAGAGAGAGGCAGGGCAGCTTCGGTCCTCGGCCCTCGATCCTCGATCCTCTTGCGTGAGCCTCGATCCTCGACCCGACTGGATGGTCCTCCTGGATGGGCCTCGGTTCTCGGTCCCCCTCCTCAGCGGGGGCGGGCGGGCGGCGCGCGGGTCGCCTTCGTCGTCGTGGTCGTGGTCGTCCCCGGGGAGAGGGGGAGTCAGAGGCCCAATAGCCTGCCTAAGAAAGGGAGAGGGTGAGAGAGAGAGAGAGAGCAGGAAGAGGAGGAGGAGGAGGAAAAGGAGGAGGAGGAGGAGAAGGAGGAGGAGGAGGAGGAGCGACAGGAGAGAGGGAGGCGGAATCTGAGGAGGACGGAGGAGGGGGAGTGGGAGGAGGCGGAGGAGGAGGAGGAGGAGGAGGAGGATATGAAGGGGAGGAGGCAACAGGAAACAGCGGGAGCAAGGAGGAGAAGGAGGGCGGAGGATGAAGGGGAGGGGAAGGGAAGAGGGAGAGGGGGAGGGGGGATGACAAGGGCGCAGGAGGGGTCGGGAGGAGGAGGGGAAGAGCGTGCGAGACGCTGCCCCCCCTTTTGTGTGTGTCCCGCGTTCTCTCGGTGCGGGGCGCATGGACACCTCGCCCCCCTCCCCTGACTACCTACCAGGCCTACCGAATTTCGGGTTGGGGGGGGTACGCGTTCCACGTGTTTCTTGAATGTTCCCCGACCCCCCCACACTGGAAGTGGAGGGACAATTGGGGCCTTCGGGGATGGGTTGGGGTCGTTTGGTGGGTGGTGATCTCCAATGTCCAGCCGTCTCCCACGGGCAGTTCTGCTGATGCTGCCGTGGGCCGAGTCTTCTCCTTCGACGCTCGAGCGCGGTCTCCACCCGACAACGCGAGGCGGGCTCTCCGGGGAGGAGGAGGAGGAGGAGGAGGAGGAGGAGGAGGAGGAGGAGGAGGAGGAACAGGAGGAGGAGGAGAAGGAGGAACAGGAGGAACAGGAGGAGGAGGAGGGGGAGGAGGAGGAGGAGGAGGAGGAGGAGGAGGTCTGGGGGACCCGTGGGGCCCCGCGGCCGCGGCACATGCCGCCGCCACTCGCCGAAGCCGCGAGGCGGGAGACCTGCCCAGAGAGTGCCGGTGGGGCCCTCCGGGCCTGGCGGGCGCGGTGCCCAGACCGCTCGTCCGCCGCCGTGGGCCGCCGCCGCTCGGCCGCTGGAGATGCCGACGCGTGAGCCATGAGCCTCGATGGGGCCCTGAGACCCTGGAGCATCTGGGGCCCCTGACGACTTCGACGGGGGGAAATGTGCCGCTCTCTTCTGCCTCTGGGGGGCCCCCGCCGGGCCTCGGGGCCAACGAAACGGCTCGGGATGGAACACGGGTCCCGGGGAAGGTGTCCGGGCCCCTGAGGGGGTCGCGCGAGGAAACAATCATGACCTCGGGCACGTCGGGGGTCTCGGTGTGCAGGGTGTGCGAGGCGGGCCGGGAGCTCTTCTCTTTCAGTCTAGGGTGGGGTATTGAGGTGGGGCATGTCCTCCTACAGGCGGATTTGGGAATAAAAATCAACCAAGTATCCAACAATATGCAATAATCATAGGAAAGTCGTCCCCATTGCTATTTGATGACTATTTTTGAATATCCCTCCTGTTGAGGGACACACCCGACTTGAAAATAGCCTTCCCCGCCTGCTCGAGCCGCCAGGGGATCTGCGGATGGGTGCTCGACTGTTGACCCCCTCCCGCTGGGAGGGGCGCAGCGGGCGTCAGCGCGGTGGACGCGGCGGGCTCCTCTGTTGGATCGCGGGCGCAGCGCAGCAGGGGGTGGAGGATGCGCGATACGATACGAATGCCCTTAACGTCATGATGTCTGATTGTCCTGTGGGTATTGTGCTCACTGATCTTCAAAGCCGCGCAGCAGCGGGCCCAGAACCTTCAAGACGGACCGGAGGCAAACGGGCGCGGTGCTTTGCTGGGATGTACACGCCGGTCGGAACAACGCACGAAGCGGGAAGGCGCACAAAACAGAGATCGGGTTCAGGCCCCAAGGGGATAGAACACAGACCACAACAAGAGCAGATCGACTCCTGAAGCAGGAAGGCGCTTGAAGTAGATTGGGATCGCGGAAGAGAGAAAACGCCATAAACATAAACTTCTGGCGCTCCGCACGGGTTTCGTGGATCTGCGCTGGACATCCCTCCCTGGCGCGCGGAGCGCGCTAGGGGTGGCGCCGGAGGCGCCGCAGTGGGGGCCCCGCGCGGATCCAAGAGATCCGCGCGGAGCGCCAAAAGTTTATGCTTACGGCGGTTTCTCTTCCTTGATTGAAGTAGTAGAATGGGATCTGGGAGTCCCCAGGAGCCTAGCTTCAGCGACCGACGTGTATCTTCTGCCACGGCGCTGGATTATCGGGTGGGGGCCGAGGTGGTGGGCAAGTTTTCCATCGCCACTACCATAGGTAGAGCGGGGGACAAGGGAGGATGGGGAGGTCCTCCTCCTCCTCCTCCTCCTTTTCCTCCTCCTCCTTTTCCTCCTCCTTTTCCTCCTCCTCCTCCTCCTCCGCCTCCTCCTCCTCCTCATCCTCCACTCCTCCCTCTCCTCCGCCTCCTCCCCCCTCCCTCCTCACCTCCTCCTCCCTCTCCTACTCCTCCTCCTCCTCCTCCTCCTCCTCCTCCTCCTCCTCCTCCATCCTCCTCCCTCTCCTGCCGATGGCAGTGGCTGTGCAAAACAGTGGGCCCACCACGGGGGGCGGCAGCGGGACCCTGCCGCGGGGGAGCCTCGGCGACGGCGGCAGCGTCGCCACCCGGGGCACGAAGGGCTGCGCTGGTGCGGCCTCAGGCGGCCGCCCAGCTGGGGAGGGGGGAGGGAGGAGGAGGAGGAGGAGGAGGAGGAGGAGGAGGAGGAGGAGGCGACGGAGGAGAAGGAGGGATGAGGATGGAGGATGGAGGATGGAGGACGGAGGATGAGGATGGAGTATTAGGAGGAGGAGGAGGAGGAGGAGGAGGAGGAGGAGGACGAGGAGGATAGAGGATGGAGGATGGATGAAAGAGGATGGAGGATGTATGATGATGCTGATGCTGATGATGATGCTGATGCTGATGCTGATGCTGATGATGATGGTGATGCTGATGATGATGCTGATGATGATGATGATGGTTCTGATGATGATGATGATTATGATTATGATGATGATGATGATGATGATGATGATGATGATGATGATGATGATGATGATGATGATGATGATGATGATGCTGCTGAGTAGGAGGAGGGGGAGGAGAAGGAGGAGGAAGGAGGAGGAGGGAGGAGAAGGAGGAGGAAGAGGAGGAGGAGGAGGAGGACCAGTGTAAAGCCGAGAGTCATCAGCGATGTTGCAATGAAGCCTCCCTCCAAGCTCCCTCTTCACAGGTCCCTGCAAGGATTCATTTCCACTGACGGGACTGCCTTGTTGGAAGACAAGCGTTTCAAGACCCTGAAGCATGCCAAAACACACGCCACGGATCACCCTGAATGTTGCGTCTTGACGATCCTGACTCGCGCCAGAACGCCAATCCTGGGACTTCAACACAAGGAATCAACGTAAGTATTGCGCCCTCAAAATTCTGAATCTTTCCATCACACAATTTCTGGTAGGTTGAACCTGGGAACCCGTATAATATTGTAATTGATAAGAAGGTGTGCGCGGCGCTAAAGCGAGAGCCACATGTTGAAAAAGAGCCGCCTTAAATCCGTGAAACTCTTGCAAGTGTTCGAAACGAATGTTCTCGGCGCTAACGCGAAAACCACATGTTGAAAACGACCCGCCGTCATTATACGAAACTCTTGCAACTGTTTGAAGCAAATGTGCGCAGCGCTCAGGCTTGAACCACATTCCCCAATCAGAGCTTGCCTCTGTAGGGGTCCTAGCGGATTAAAGGGTTAGGTGAGGTGCGTCGCCGATTTCGGTGGCTGGGCCCGGGTGCCCGGGTGCCCGGGTGCCCGGTGAGGTGCGTGGCCGATTTCGGTGGCCGGGCCCGGCTGTCCGGGGGTGCCCGGGTGTCCGGGGGTGCCCGGGTGCCTGGGGGTGCCCAATAGCCCAATAGCCCAATAGCCCAGTAGCCCTATAGCCCTATACCCCTATAGCCCTATAGCCGTATAGCCCTATAGCCCTGTAGCCCTATAGCCTTATATCCCTATAGCCCTAATAGCCTTATATCCCTATATCCCCATAGCCCCATAGCCCATATAGCTCTACAGCCCCATAGCCCTATAGCCCTGTGGCCCTATAGGTCACAGTCCTATAGCCCTATAAGCCTATAGCCCGATAACCCTGTAGCCCTATAGCCCGATAGCCCTATAGCCCTACAGCCCGATAGCCCTTTAGCTCTATAAGGGAGCAATTGGAATATTAAACAAATATGATTGGTTTTTTTCTCCGGTATCATTTTGAAAACGACCCGCCCTCCATCTGTGAAGCTGTTGCCCAATTTAAAACTTCACTGTCACAAACGGTGAGAAAGTCTCAAGCGAAACGCCCCGCCAGCCCTTTCGACCGGCCTCGGGGTGCGACAGGGAGAGCTTATTTAGAAGGAAAAACGATGGAGGAGGAGAGGGAGAGCCTTGAGGTCCCCCCCCCCCACCACCCCCCACTGAGGTTTCCTAGCCTCCCCACCCCCCTCCCCAGGAACTAGGGAGAAGAAAGAGGGGATGGATGGAGTAGGAGGAGGAGGAGGAGGAGGAGGCAGGAGAAGGAGGAGGATGGTGAGGATATGAGGAGGAGAGGAGGAGGACGCCCCCGAGGAGCGACAGGAGGAGGAGTGGAGGGAGGAGGGGGAGAAGGATGGAGGAGGACGATGGAGCATGGCTGCGGGAGGGTGGATGGAGGAGGAGAAGGAGAAGGAGGAGGAGGAGGAGGAGGAGTAGGAGGATGAGGAGGACGACGACGAGGGGCAGGGGCGCGCTGGAGCGGCGCGGGGCGCGCGCGCCCCTCTCTCGTTGGGGACGTTCGTGAGAGGGGGGCGGCCCGAGAAACAGAACCAGGGCCCGAGGCACGTGCGCGGACGAGCCCGGGCCAGGGAGCGCACAGCAAGACGGAGAGGGGCCACGAGATCCGGGAAGAGACAGCGTGGCCAGCGCCGCGCGAATCACCTCCTCCCCCTCCTCCTCCTCCTCCTCCTCCCTCCTCCTCCTCCTCCTCCTCGTCCTCCTCCTCCTCCTCCTCCAGCAAGCCGCATTCCCCCCTGGGCCGCCCCCGCTCTCGGGCATAGCACGGGGACGGACCCGCACCCCCTCGGCACCAGACATCCGACATCGGACCTGCAGTTCTCGCCGGAGGGGGCGTTGCATGCTGGCGCCGCATCACTGGGAGAACTTACGAGGGGACAACAATCAACACATACACGTACATGCTTAACAGAAATCACGCCGCAAGTGTGCTGGCCACGCCCGGCCCTCTGGGATCCTTGACGCGCTCCTCTCGATCGGATTGGGAGGCAACTCCTTCTGGGAGGGCTCCGTAGGAACGATTGAGGGTTGTCAGGTCCGATGGAGGGCAGCGACAATATATAGCCGCAAAGTTGAACCAGACTGCGCCGGATTACGCAGGCGGAATCAATTGGCAACATATCGGATGAGCCTGGTTTCCGTCAACGGATCTATCAGCGCCGATGCCAAATGAAACCCCCAACGGGCTGTATCTCAAGCCGGGGGGACGGAACCGAATCGTGCCCAAACCCTCTCGGGCCGCGGAAAAAAAAACACCATGTGCATTTGGCCAACCCTGGCCTGTGGGGGGGGTCCTTCGCACACCAGGCCCAGGGGGGGCGTAGACGAGACCGCTCGGGATGGAAAGGGATGCACCGAGGGAATGGGTCGGGGATCTACGCTGTTAAAAGCGGTGAGGGTCACGGCGCCTGAGAGTCTGAGAAGGGGAATGGTGGGACGAGGTTGGATGCGATGGGACGGCGTATGAATGGGGAGGGAGCAGCGAGAGGTGCTCCCTGCGTCCGTCTCCCTTTTGGACGTCGGGGCCCTCCGGAGGAGGGGGGAGGAGCGGCGACAGGGGCATAGGGACGGAGAGGAGAAGCAGAGAGCGAGAGGAGGAGACGAGACGGAGAGCGCGAGAGCGAGAGACAAACAAAAACACGCGCCGCTTCCTCTGAGTGCCCTGAACGCCTGACGATTGGAACAACATTCGGACAACGAGCAAAAATCAAACCTATCATTCAACGCACCACAACCAAACGTGTAACATCTCGCCTGTGCGCGATATTTGCTGGAAGTGCTGAGCGCGTCACCAAAGCAACCAGGCAGACCGAAGCCAACAATAGCTGATAGCTAGCTTCCGATGTTGCCAGAGAGAGAACGATGAGGATGAGGACGAAGGTGAGGACAAGGATGGGGATGATGATCATGCTAATGATGCTGTTGCTGCTGATGATGAGGATCGAGATGATGATGATGATGACGACGATAACGAGGATGATGAGGATGATGAGGATGATGATGATGATGATGAGGAGGAGAAGGAGAAGGAGGAGGAAGAGGAGCAGGAGGAGGAGGCCCAGTGCAAACCCAAGAGTCATCAACGATGTTGGAATAAACCCTCCCTCCAAACTCCCTCTCAAGGCCCCTACAACGGTTCACTGTCACTGGAGAAACTGCCTCGTTGGAAGACCACCGTTGGAAGACCCTTAAACATGCCAAACCATTGTTCTCTGGATCCCAACGCCACGGATCAACCTCACTGTTGCGTCTTGACGATCCCGATCCGGGCCGGAACGCCATTCCTGGGACTTCAACACCGCGAATCAACGTAACTGTTGCACCCTCATAATCTTGATCCCGTCCAAAGCACTATTTCTCTTACGCTGATCATGGGAATCCGTGAACCTCTTGTAATTGTTTGAAACGAATGTGCGCGGCGCTGAAGCGAGAGCCACATTTTGGAAAGGGCCGCCCTCAATGCCTGAAACCTTTGGAAAGTTGAAAACATAAAGTGCGCGCCAGTAAGACGAGAACCACATTTTGAAAAAGAGCCACACTCAATCCGTGAAGCTCTTGCAGAATTTAAACTACATGTTGAAAACGATCAGCCCTCCATCTGTGAAGCCGTCCGTTGTCAGTTATTACGCTTCAGGGCCATACAGGGTGAGGACGCCTCAAGCAAAACGCCCGGACCGCCCTAAAGGCTGGCCTCTGGGTGCGACAGGGAGGGATTATTTACGAGGAAAAGACATGGAGGAGCAGGGGGAGGAGGAGGAGGTGCAACGGTGAAGGGCGCTTGGGGGCAGCGTCCGATGACGCATGGCAGACACCGTGGCCTCTGCGCAGGGATATAAGCAGCAAGGCTAAATCACTGCCAGCGATCCTGACCGTGCCTGGGGCGCCCAGGCAGAGGGCACTGCGTCGCGCTGGGAGGCCCGTCCAGCGGAATGTACGTTCGCTGGGGCGAAAGAAGAAAACAGCCGGTGGGCGATGGCCTCCTCTGGAGGCCCGCGCCTCCGTCCAAGAGGGAGCGACCTGGAGAGCGGGCACACCCGAGCCTGTCGCTTGGTTGGTTCTTTGACCGGGGAGGCCCACGAAGCTGGCCTGAGCCACAATGTCCCCTCCACTTCTCTTTCTCCATTCGGGTGCAGGAGGAGGACGGGGAGGAGGAGGACGGGGAGGGGGAGGAGGAGGAGAAGGAGAAGGAGGAGGAGGAGGAGGAGGAGGAGGAGCAGGATAAGGATGATGGCGCTGAATATGATGATGATGATGATGATGATGATGATGATGATGATGATGATGATGATGATGATGATGATGATGATGATCCTGATGCTAATGCTGATGCTGATGATGATGATGATGATGATGCTGATGCTGATGCTGATGCTGTGGATAATGATGATGATGATGATGATGATGATGATGATGATGATGATGATGATGATGCTGATGATGATGATGCTGATGCTGATGATGAGGATGAGGAGGAGGAGGAGGAGGATGTGATGATGATGATGAGGAGGAGGAGGAGGAGGGAGGAAGCAGCGAGGAGGGCGGATCAGGAATGAGTGGAGGGAGGAAGACGAGGGAGAACGGAGGGGGAGGGAGGGAGGGAGGGACAAGGAAGGAGAAGGACTCCTCACCCCTCCAGCCCGATCCGCCCCCCCGCCCCTCCGCGCGCCCCTGCTCGGATGGGGGCGACGCCCAGCCTGTGGCGGGCCGACGCTCGGCGGACTCTGCCGCGGGGCTTCCCTCCACGGCTGGCCGCCCAGGGCGCCTCGAGCGGCGCGGGAGGGGAGGCGGGGCGGGGGGGGGATCCTGCTCGTTCGACGCCTCCCCGTCCTCCCCCGCTCATCCTTCCTCCATCCTCCTCCTGGGCTTCCTCGTCCTCCTCCCTTCCTCCCTTCCTCCTCCTCCTCCTCCCTTCCTCCTCCTCCTCCTCCTCGTCCTCCTCCTCCTCCTCCTCCTCCTCCTCCTCCTCCTCCTCGCTCCCTCAACACAGGGCTAGCAACTTCTGCCCCTGCCCAGGAAAAAGGGAGAAGCTGAGAAGTCTGGCCGCACGCTGGAAATCGCGTGGCTGGCCGCACGCGCGCGCGTGGGGAGAGAAGAGACACGGAAAGCAGCAAGTAGGACAGGGGGAGGGGCCCCTCACACTGAGCAAGGGCCCCAGGTTCCGCGTCCACCGTTAAATGTCCGCCTGCCCATGTGCCTTGTTATGGATGGTAGTTCTTACCCACATGACGTTGGGCGTGTGAGTCAAGAGGGGGGGGGGGGGCAGAACGGCAGAAGATCAGGTTCCATCGCATCCAGGTGGTAATCCTGCACAATGGCGGCGGGTTTTCCATGGACTGGGCCGAGCGTCGCCTCCCGTCCTCATTCTTTTCTCGGGCCGTCCTGTGAGCATGCTCCCTGGAACAGAGTCCCCCCCACCCCTTGGGGCAAGCGCGATGGCATGCTGGAGAAATGGGCCGCAAACTCCCAGGAGACCTGTGGGCTTGAGAACGGGGGGCCCAAAAGAACACTGATCCTTCCTGGGAAGCACACCCCCCTACGGCTCCAGCGGTGAACGGACGTGTGGCAATCTCAAACTGCTGGGAACGTGAGGAACATAGCGTTGGTGGCAGGATGCTTCATGATCGCTGGGATGCCAGCAACCCAACACGTGTGCAAGAACCATACCCGCGCGAAGGATGAGATTTCCCAGCTTCGCCATCAGGCTCAGACACGAGAAACAATCCCACGGGCGAAAGATAAAGCGGATGGGGCGAGGAGATCCAGTACGACCACCTTCCTTCAGCGGCCAATGTCTGGCGGCGCTAAATGTGTTTCAAAGCGGACCCATGACCACCAAAACGCATCCGAACCTAGCTCTGGACAGCCAAAGGGCAACCGTGTCCTGACTCGTTAGATCTCAAAACCACCGATGCGGATACGAACACCCGCATCGGAAATTGGCCGGCTATTTTCTCAAGACACGCCTGCTAATCATCTTCACGCCCAGTCCCCGAACGAAAAGGTGGAGAACGAACGTGGCCCGCTGCTGGAAGTGGGTCGCTCGACACGCAGTTTCACCAGGCGTCCCAGGTTCGACGCACGGCACGGCTGGCGCCGCGGTCGGGGGGGGTGGCTTCGCATCTCCACTGCGATGGAGGGAGGGGGCGGGGGACGGAGAGGGGCATGGGGGGTCCCAAAACTTGCGCTGGTATGCGTCTGGCACAGGTCTCGCACCTTCCCTCAAACTGTTCCTAGCCATCTCCTCCATAACTCCGCTCCTGACTTGCTCAATCTCCTCGCTGGGG